TTTGAGTTGCTGCTGATGTGAAAGGCTGATTAGATATTTGGGTTACTGTGATGGGCAGTGAAACAGAAGTACCTAATAAAGTGGTTGCTGAATGTATAGCGTGACTTCACTGGACTAAACAGTAATTGGTCCTATGTTCTCAGACTGTATTTTTTTCTGATGCTTTTCTTCATTTCATCAGTTTTGTAAAAAAAAAAAAAAAAGACACACACTTTACATTTCATTTTTGTTTCTGAAACGTTTTAATTCATTCATTAGAGCTGAAGTGATTGGCTGATTATTCGTGTTCTGACAAATGTGAAAATGTTTTTGATTGTTGGAGTGTATTTTGCACAGGTGAGTCCGTGTTATGAAAAATGCCCTAACTGTTCTGAGTGGTGGGAAAGACCTTTCTGCTGTGAGAATTGTGCCAAATCGATTGAATAAAAACTGTAACATGTAATCACTAAAATACAAAAATCATCTGAAACCACAACACAGACTACACACACAGTTTTTATGAATACGCTCAGAAGTGTGTGGTCATGCATAGGACAATGTGATCTATCTTCCACTCTGATTATTATAGGACAGTTTGGTAATTTCCATTACCAGGAAAAAATGAAATGCCTTTAGGCAATTTAGGAATTACGTCGCTGCATGAGTTACAGGATTACAGGTCATGTTATATATATATATTTACCATTTACCATATATATGCAAAACCTCATGTTTGTTTTTGTCCCATATTGGCACTAATACCTACAATATTTACATACAATTTATGTTTTGATCCTTACACCATGTTGATCAAAAATGCTGCTTAAAAACTGGGTTTATTAATAGACTAGAATGCACCTCTGTTCTTGTAATTTCAGGTAGATGCCACTAGAGGACTATAAAGCTCATGGATTATTGCACACATCTATAAAACATTTCCATAATTTTAAGTTTTTATGTATCTGCCTACTGTGGAAATGTGACAGAGAGCCAACTGTCTCTCAAAAACACAGATTTTGAACAGTTATTGCAAGCACATGGGTTTTTTTGTTTGTTTTTTTAATTTCTCAGTGTCGCCTGCAGAATAATTACAAGAGTAGTAATTACAGGTAAGTTGGGGTGGAATTCTCCGCTCTGTTTGTTCAGTTTACACATCATGAACCCTCTGCTTAAGTGCTTTTTCTTCCTTTCTGTCCAAAGTCACAAATTGCAAACCCCTGAAGGAACTGCAGGCAATTAAGTGTAGGAGGATGAAAATAATTACAAGCTTACTAAATTCAGTCGAATCCCCAGATCCCAAATCTTACCTGCCCTCCTCACTCTGAGTACCGTGTCTGAGGAGCGTGTGAGGGCATGATCTGCTCCACCACAAGTGAAGACTCACAACACTGTGATGCAACCAAATTCTTACTGTGAACTGATCACCAACTTCATTTGGGTGTGTACACTGAACACACCCTTCTATCTTTAATGTACAGTATTTTTACAAGAGGTTGTCAAGTATAGTGTTTTTGATTTTATTAATTAAATAAATGAGATTAAATGTGTGACTTCTCTCTTTTACAAACTGTACATTCATTCAGAAGTTTTTATGTAAAATTAATTATTGACATAGGCTGTGGGAAACTGCTACTATATGTTAATAATATTAATAATAGGTTGGCTGTCGAATATTACAAGCTGTGTATGATCAAACATTGTTGGTGGTGGTGTAAGTGGGACTGACTCGAGATTTATTGCTAGATCGTATATAAACGATAGGTTGATGCTCAGCAGTGAATTTTGAAGGTAAGCCCTTTGTCAGTCATATACTAGTTAAAAGACACTATTACATATTTCCTCTTGAATTAAACCATAATTTATAAAATGACACAGCGTTAAATTAGCGTTGAGACTAGCATACCAGACCATAAAGTCATCAGGAAAGTGTCTGCAGACATCATAAATCAAAAGCGAAGGGTCATTTTCTACTACAGTCATACAACAAGACTTTTTGCAACCATGAGAACTGCCCCTACTGACCATTAAAAAAAGGAGATTTAAGCATAGACTGTATTTAAAGTCCAGTTCAGTTGCTTAAATTAGCAGATGTGAGGTCTAGGAGCTAAAGCTGCATGTACCAGCACGTCAGTTAATCAAATAACTACAAGCTTTATCAGCATCCTGAATTTTTTTTACTCACATTACAACTTTTTGCATTGGCCTGACTATAAAGCTCAAGAGGTACCACTTAGGTTTAATGCAATTTTTATAGTATGGCTCAAAAACGTACATTTGTGCATGGTAACTCACTGTATACCTAATGCTATCTGTATGTATATATATATATATACACACACACACACACACCAGACTCCAGTGTGTCTGAGTCATCAGAGTAACAAAAAGGCCCAAAAACTCTTGTTCATGTGCATTTGAAAAAAAAAGAGGAATAAGGTTGATTAAACTTTGGATATGCAAATAAAGAAAAAAGTTTTCTACTTTCTACATTCTCTGAAATCATCCAGAGTTGGTCCAGAAAGGTAGAACACACATTTCCACACAAAGTTAAGAATTTAATTATTTGTTTATTTATTAATTTATTTACGTATTTCTATCTCCAGAATCACCCACCCGAAAAATATAAATTTCGGTGTATTCCAAAAAAAAAAAAAGAGAAAGGAAAAAAGGAACAATGGCATCTTCATCAACTGGATCAAAGGAATTAATCAACAAAATCAAAGAGGCAATAATTATTATCATTATTACAATAATAATTCAATGATCAGAATATCCACATTCATAACAAATCCATATACAACTGCAATACACTCTTCAACACCACTCTTCCATTAATATACAGAAAATCCCCAAATGTCTGTCCTGTCAAAACAACAATAGAGGAGCTTTCAGGGAGGGTGGGGGCTATGGCTTGTCAAAGGGTAATGGAGATGAGCGATCAGCGGAGGTAACGGATCTAAGGTTAGTAAGAGTATAAGGGGGAGGAGGCACACTTATTTAGTAAGGACCTATACAAAAACAAGCAATGGTGAGTAATGACAGCAGACTTTCATGGAAGGGTTTGCCAGTCTAGCCGCACAAAAAGGTTAGACGGTTCCATGAGAAGCAGAATTTGGGGAACAAAATTTCAAGAAATATATAAGGGTTGTCTGAATAAATATATAGCTCTGAATGACAACCGCTGCAAACATATAAGTGAACGCCAGATACGCAAGAACTCAAAACAGGTTGAGAATTTTTAAAGAAATGCAAATGGAGGTTTCTGGGGGGCAAAAAAGGTCTAAGTCTATATATGTACAAACATTGCTTGGTCACCCAAATCTACTTAGAAAAGCTTTTTTAGTTGGTCAGAAAATGAGTGCAAGCTTAATATTACGTGAGTTACTTCTTGTATGAGAGCTTCAAGAATGCAGCTAGAAGTGACAGACCTTGCTGATATTCTAAGTCTGCACAGAAAGTGCCTCTGATAGCTGTCAGTACATGTAAAAACCTTTCCATGCCTCAATATTGGTAACTTGAGAAGACCTATTCATAGAAAGAGAGAGAAACATTAGAGGAAAAAATAGCTGTACACTCTGCATATACAAACAAACTGTATATACACATAGACATACCATATATACACATGTATCCAGTATATACACAAAGATTGAGCCAGTACACACACTTATATACAAACACATTCACTCGTTTCAGCAGGACCTCTAACATGTCTCTCTCTCGTTTCAGTCAAAAGTGGAAATGGCAGGGATTTCAACTCAGATTGGTGTCAGTGGAGTCCATCCATAGAAAGAAAACGGGGAGTTTTACAGCAATTTGACTGCAGAAATGTGGCCACACTGAAACCAAGAGTTCATCCTCTGCTTGGTTAAAACTCTACAGACAGGTAGTCGAAGTGGAGTACAAAACGATAGCTGTAAGAATGTCCTTATCCAATCACTTTCACATCGTCCGTATATGGAGAGCTCCATGGCGACATCTGTCCACTTTATTTCGCTTTTGAACAATAATAACCAAGAGCAAGGAGGGATCAGGTGCCAGCAACGTGCAAACTGTCGTAAGGGGAGTAGGTGAAACACGAGTTCATCCCTTTCGCTGCAGTCTTTTGGGGCAACTCTTCTTTCCAAAAGATTGTCTCAGTAAGAAACTCGGTTCATATAAAATGGGTTATTTATGAACTTCCATTAGATAGAGGCATCTATCTATATCAAGAAATAAATATCTCCTCCGGAAGATTTTAAACGAAGAGTTTTTCTTTAATTGTAAGAATAAGCAGTTTCATCATAGAAATATAAATAATAACATTCTGTCCGGCTTTTCAAAGTCTTCACTGAAGCAAGAGTATTGTTTAGAAGCGGTTTTACGTTATGAATTAGGCTGTGCATATTTAGGTTCCTTTAAAATCAAACGCTGAACGAGATCCAAACGGAAGAGCTAAAAACTACGAGGAGAGAAAAAGATCAAGTGTGTCTAGAACGAAGTAAGACTGAAGTGGTTAAATGATGCTTTTTAAAATCCTAGATGCATAAAGAGTGAATAGATGAAGAGGAATCAAGGGGTAATTTGAAAAGACTACAAGAGAGATAGAGAGAGAGAGAGAGGCAAATAAATGCTATGAACGAAAATCAGCTTGGACTGAAAATTTTAAGAGAAGTCAAGCACCTTTGAAATACATCTTACCCACCCCTCTCTCTCACTTTGAGCATCGCGCCTTCCTTGGCTTTTGTGTTCCTCCGTTCTGCTGATTGATCAGACTGCATAGCTGTTCTTTGCATGCTCGGCAGGCTGACAACAACAATATCTGTCCAGCCTACCTTTTGTTTGTAAGTCAAATGTAGATCCAACCATGAGGCATCAAACATATTAAAAAAAAATCCTGTTATCAAATCAGAGAGAGAGGGCCCAGTAAAGTGAAAACAAAAAAGCCAAAAAAACCCAGCATTTCCTTACATGGTCCGCTGGGGCTCTGCACCATCCTTTGAGCAAAGAGAATGGGACCAGTGCCCCAAGTTCTCCCTTTGTCAGCCAATCGCGTCACGAGAGAGGGCTCTGGACATTTGGCCATGCCACCCTGCAGACTGCCGATGGTGCATCAGCCAATTAGGTTCCACATTGTCCTCGATGAAGCTTTGAGAGTGGCTGGGGGAGAAAAAAGGGAGACAGAGAGAGAGAAGAAACGGGGGAGGGTGCTTGATCAGGTGCTATTAAAGCATAGCTATTGACCGAGTATCTGCATGGTGGCAGTCTTTCCAAAGCTGGACTCGTCTCTTTTTATTTTCTATAGTTTTTGTGTTCAGCTCTGAGGCAACTGCTTGTTTACCTGAGTCACTGAGGTATTTTCACAGCAATGTTAATTTCTCAATCACGGATCATATCACGTCTCAGAAAAGACACTGATGTTCATAACCTAGCCCGCTTTGAATCCAACATTCACCACACAAGTAAATTCACAAGAAAGAAGTAGCCCTAAATAGACAATCTTTCCCTGCATAAGACTGCTAGCATTATAAACATTTGGTGGTTCAACATTCACTATCATTAGAAGTCTAATCTAAGCTTAACCACTGCAGGCCATTTTGACCTTTGACACGGCAAAAACAAAAATGTTGTGGTCTGTCTAAAGTGAAAAATGGCTGATGTGAAACACTTCTTGAACTTTAAAACAAGCCAAGTTGTTGCAGAGCGACACCGGTGTGTGAGGCTACAAAGACAAAAACAAATTCACATCGAGACAAACCTTACAGCAGACAGTTCATACACAAAATGAAGGAATATGGATACATGTTGCAAACATTTCAAAGATGTGTTTTCAGCATTGGACACATGAGAAATCAAATCATGAGTTCATTTGCAAAGTACATCAAACAATTCTCTAAATTTTTATTTTTTTTTGCTTTGTTTTCAACAACAGGTCTCTTTTCATTTAAAAAAAGAAACCTCAAGTTAAGCAAACTACACACAGTAATATATAAGATAATATAATATATAATAATTTGTAGAATCAGGGATATAATTTATTTTATTGTGTTACGCAAGGCTTTATAAGGTGCATTTGGTTGATGACTAGCTAGTCTACTGGCCAAAGGATACTCAATGCATCTATCCCAGGCACTTAACGGCAGGCTTAGCAAACCTAGAAATGGTCTTTTCACAGATATTTGTAAGGAAACAAAATCCTCTTTGTGTTTGGCAAATTTGAAAGTAAAAATGGGGTAAAATGTAGTGTATGCTCAAACCAACTACAAACCTGTTTTTACTATTTATTTGTTTTGGTGAAAATTGCAAGATAAATTATTAAAGGCTGTGTCTGAAATAAGCAAAATAATCATCTTCTAGAAAAACACAAAGAATCAACATAATTTAAGTGAAAGAAAAACAAACAAACACTGAATACACTTCATTCATCCCTGTCTTTCAAAGTATTAAAATTACTAGTGCTAGTTGTAAACTACAGATAGCCTTTGGAGGCAAAAGTGCAATAGTTGATCCATCAATTCTGAGCCTGGGAGCTGCTTTTATTAAATGTGATTAAAGTCAGAGATTGGAGGAGTGCAAAAAAAACAAAAACAGATATGGAAACCCCAACACCCCCGTTTAAGCATAACACAGCATGATGCACAAAGAACAAAGACGGACGCACACGGAACATATTGGGAGGGGAAAAAAAAGTCCTGTCAAAGACAAACTGCAGAAGAGAGAGAGAGAAAAGACAGTGAGTGAACCATGAAAGAGGCAGTGCTATGGCAGACACAGACAGCTGACTTGGAAAATGGCACCATTTGTTTCTGTTTAGCACCAGTTTATCACAAATCGGTTCTGAGATTGAGAAGAGAAAAACTGCACGAGCTCAGTCCAAAAACAAGACGTCCCTTAGATTGAAAAGAAGAAAGAAGTTCCCAGAAATGTCTCTCATCACTCAAACCGCTACGATGCTTGATCTTGTGTCTTTGAATCTCTGTTTTCGGCCCATATATTGTTTCCCTTACTTGCAAAGCCAACTTGATCGCCGTCTGTTAACTGTATTGTAAAACCCTGTTGGAAAAACACTCAAAGGCACTATGAAAGCCAGACCACACTGCCACATTCCTACTAAAACAAACTGTAGCCTGGCGTGTTCAGGATATATTAATGCATCTACATCCATGGGAGTCAAGGGTTACTGTAAGCTAGCTTCTAGCTTCTAGCACTTCTTTGCTAATGGCTACTATGAAGTCTTTGGGGTGCAAGACATTCTATAGTTCTTGATCCTTACATGTTTGTTTCTAGTGGAATCAAAGACAGGCGATGAGTGCACGGAGCACATATTCACATATCTTGGTATGCATGTTAATGCTTTGTTTGACAGATTCAAAGTACGTAAGGTATCATTGTCTTGTCCTGCAAGACTGATACTATCTGAAGCTCCATGTGAGCATCAAGAGAACAAATGTCCATTGAAGAGCCCTTTATGTTGTGTGTTAATGTGTTAAGCACTGTACAGTAGCTGTATGATTACTACTCGTCTCCTGCTCGCTTTTCTTCTCTCTCTTGCCTGGGCAATAAGAACATAAAAGGTGATTTCTTTTCAAAGAACTGTCTTGCTAAATGGGGAAAGGGCAGGGGTGGTGTTTTCCTTTGGGTCATCTCTCTCTGATTTGGCTCAGTGCTGTGTTTGACCTACTCCCCCTTCTTCTGCTATGCCTGTAGTTGCTGCTGCTGTAGTTCCAGTTGTCTGTGAGGTTGTCATTGGGGAAGATGTTTGGCTGCCACGGAGCTCTCCATTCTGACTAGGATGTTGATGAGGAGCGGGTAGAGAGGGAGGATCTATGGTTTGAGGGAGGACTCCATTGTGGGGCGAGCTGACAGAGGAAATGCCCGAGGAAGAGACTCTGAGGCCTTGATCGTTGGTTACTGCTCCACCTCCTCCACCTCCCCCTCCACCTTCAGTTTTCACACCGGGGTCTGCAGAACCCAGGGAGGAAAGCTGGTCCTCCTAGCGAGATAGAGAGAGAAGGGAGGGGAAAGAGGAGTGGGAGCAGGGAGAAATGGTCGTAGGAGAGAGGCCATTCAATGAAAGATGGGAGGGATGTGAGGAGTTGCAATAGGAGATGTCCAATCAAGGCAGACATGTAAAGGGAAAAAATACACGTTGAAGAGGTGTGAAAGTGTGGGAGAAAGGAATAGCAGTGAGATAAGGATGGAAAGAGGATAAAAGAGAAAAATCACCAGAGAAGGACATGATTTGAAGGGAAAAACATCAACAGCGAAAAACAGAAATAACCAGATGGAATGGATACATGTAAAGGCAATGGTCAAAGCAAAGCGAAGGTGCATTTGGAAAATAACAGACGCGTGACAAGGGATTGGAAGAAACACACATAAAGAAGGAGAGACACAGAGAGAGGAGAGAAAGAGCCCAATGAGTTACGAGGTTGATGCGTGACGCACACCAATAGAAATGGTAGCACAAGAAAAGGGACACAGGTAAAGAGGAGATGAAGGGGAATTAAAAATCTTGAGGTCAAAGGATCCTGATCCTCTTGGCATGAGTAGGTGTTTGTCAGGTGTCAGGCAAAGGCAAGAAGTCAATTGAGTCATCTTCTGACAGTGAGTACAAATAATGCTCAATAACCACTAATTTTCAAAGTAAAAGCGCGTGCTTGAGCAGCTGAAAATATTTTAAATTACAGACTGAAAAAGAGCGCTAGTCTTATGGCTTGAAAGTAAGCTTAACAGCACTCGCTGTAGCATAACATGTTACGCAAAACATGCAAAACTGTCAAGACACATAGAGGTCAGCAGCAACTTTAAAAAGCAAGTCTTAAAGAGTCTGACATGAAATCCAAACCTCTGTCAAATTCACCAACCAAAACATCCAACCCAAAGCCACTGATCACTGCAGCGGGATGTTCCTCCTGGGTTGGAGCTTTTGATTAGACATTCAAACAAAGTTTGGTTTTACTTTTGTTTTTTACTTACATTAGAGCGAAATAACAGCAATGCAATACTAGAGTTTTATTAGTTTATATCAAGGTCTGTTTGCAAGCCTTCACTTCCAGTCTTGTTCACTGATGTCTAAGAGCAGTGGGAAGAGAAAACAATTGGGTTATTATGCCAATAGACAACTATGATGACTCTATTCATACTGCTGCTTAATGTAACAATGCACGACTTCAAGATGATTTGAATACAGAAGCATTTTGAAAGCTGGAATTCACAGTTTTAACATCAGACCTGGGTAGAAACCTCTTGAAATAATTGCACTCGATTTATGGTGCCTGACACATTTGCTGTGTGGTGTCTAGACATAATTACAAAGATTCAGTGACAGTGTAGGACGAGTGCAGCAAGCATCTAAAAGAGCTCGAAGATCTGTGCAGTAATTTAACTTTATATCAAACAGGAAAATGTTCACATATTATACATGTGACAGTAAAAACCACTTTAATGCTCACACACAAGAAGTATGAAACACTGTAATGTGAATGGGATGAAGTGCTGTAGAGGGGAAGACAGGAAGGAGGAGAGATAGTTTGGTCTGCATCCAGTAGAGAAAATGAATCAAAAGCATCAAAAGCAAATAATCTTCGCTTAAACTGTGTCTGATGGGTGTGTCCGCTGTGAGGTGTCTCCATTTCAGTTAAAAAGAGTAAAAAGAAGAAATAATAATAAAAAAAAAAATTACCCCAGAATTAGATGTGAATTGGCGGGCCTTTTCTCTTCTCAATCAGAACCAAAATGAATGCAAACACTTTCAGTTGCTAACTGGTGCTATGAACAGCTAAACTCTACTATGGTTACAGACAGTTACAGGATGCCAGTAACATGACTCCACTATAGCACTTGTTTTATTAGTCTCCAACACAACCAACAGTGTTGTTTAATATCCATGTGTAGTCCAGTACACATGCCTATTAAACTGGGAAATCAGGCAGCTGAACAAAGACATGGCAAAATGTTTACTGACATCCTTTTTAACTTACCAAACTTGCTTCACTTTGTGGGCTGTAGTGTTTGATTACGTGGTGCATTCAATTACAGCTTGGTGTGAGTGTGTGTCTTTGTATGCTAATGAAAATTGCAGTATTGGAGACAGAAACACAAAACACTTAGTGGAAATGTTAAGTGTACTGTAAATGATGCAGAAAATAAATTATCACACACACACGCACACACAAATTCTTACCCATCTCCTCCAATCTCCAATCACTCCAATTTGGAACGTGAATGTCTACAACAAACTGTGAAATCTTTCTCACCTTCACATTTCAGACTAAATACCTGCTGTACGTGTTGGTTTTATCACTCTATATATGGGTAAAAAAACGTAAAAAGAGGCCTGCAAGTCTTGAAAAGCCTAGCTTGATGGGTATTGAGCTTCTGCTTTGATAGAAAGTACAAAAAGAAAACAGCAAAAAGCAAGAACACGGTATGCATGTCGCACATAAAAAGACGCACAATAACAGCTGACCTACGCCACCATTCGGACAAACAATACGCCCAGGTGCCAAACACATACAGAAACACATACATATCAGGAAAAACACGGATTCACTGAAAGACACAGAACACAACACAAAACATGTGCACAATAATCAGTGTTCTTCAGGGAAGGACTGGGTCAGATACGGAGATTTCACATAAATCGTGTCGTTTGTCATAGGGCGTGGCAGGAGGGATGGAAATCTGAATGGAAAATGTGAATTTAAAGTGGTGCTAAAATATGGCACGTTTGAAGAAAAAAAAGGCAATAAAAGAGAATAACACTAATATTTCATTTACTTTCAGACTGATTTATAAGCAAGAATGGTAAAGCCTTGAGAAGCCGTGTTTTCAGTCTGCTTTTGTAAGCTGAAAACAGTTGCAAATATTCAGTTTCTTGCTAACAAATCTAAAGTCTGGAATTATTGCAGCTACTTCTACAATTTCTTTGCATTCAAAGTTGTTTTAAAGATACTTTTAGATATCTGTTAGTCAACTTCTATTGACTAAAAACATCATCAAAAGAACGTTAAGAAGATATGAAACGTATGCTGTTTGTAAGTAGCTGATAATTATGGAAATACTTCCTTAAAACTGACTTTAGTTTAATTAAAGCCAAAGAAAAATTACCGTTGTATGTAATGAGAAGTGGAATTTTGCAAATGCCAACATATTAAAAGCAGCAGAGAGTAAAAATCAATGATTTCCATTGATTGCTGAATTTCTCTGCATTTCAGCAGCTGATTCAATGCAAAGTAGAGAGTTCTCCGTATATGACTTGAAATTAATTTGTGCATAATAATGTTGGCATGTCTGTGGATTGCTGGTTGTGACTGAATCTTATGTGTGAACAAGCGATGACATTTTCATCTGCAGAGAGCAACAACAGTCACACACAGAGAATTTGAAATGATATTAAAAAAGCTACGGCAGTATTTCTTTACATTTTTGTCAGGGGATGTCGAATGCTTATTTGTCAACATAAAGAGAAAAAGCAGTCTCAGTTCTGTCTCATCTAATTCAAGTAAACATCCAGGAGGTCTATCACAGAATATTTCCAAGTTAGCAGTGGATAAAAGGAGACACGTTAGTGTGTTGGAAGGGTGACAATAAAAAGCACAGCGGGTTACCTCCTCATTCAGCCTGACAAAACAAAGAAAATGTCATTTTTATGTGTGTGTGTTGTGGAAGAGAAGCTCACTTCACACAGTGCCAATCATGGCGCTGTGTAAAAATGACACATTTTGTCATCTGTCAGAGTAAAGAGAATTTAAAGCTGCAGCTGTGCATGTAAAAACACATACAAATAAAATACATCTTTCAGCATAAATCGGCAGCAGGACAGGTTTGCCTTCAGGGCTCCCTTCTGACAGCAATATTTCCTTTCTTTTATGTTATTCTCAGCTTGCAGGTTGGTTAGGTTTGAGCAGCAAAACTAGTTGGTGAGGTTGATTTACATTCTATTCCAAGGCAAGATTATGGCTTGGATTAAAATGTAAACCATGTCTCAGAAGAAAGTTCTAAAAGTAATGAAATGAAAGCAATGAAAACACCCTGTTCTGCTAGCTTTTGGATGTTTGCCTTTGTTTGCAAACTAATGAAATGTTAGCAGTGTTGTAGCTAATAAATAGACCTTTGCAATTCTACTATAGGTGCCTCAAGTGTAAGTAAAGTTGTTAATAGCAGGAAAATGCAGCAAAATAAAGTAGTTTTTCATGAAAAAAGCTAATGAAGGAATATAGTGAGCACAGGTTTCTCATTAGAAAACATTGTGAAAACCTGCTTCTCAAATCATATAAGGATAAAATGCTAACAACGTGTGATGGTATGGTAAAAAATCTTTTTTAAACTGCAGTACCTTGCTGTCAGTTGTTCTAGCTGGTCACTGCAACAAAAATCCCCCACAGCATTTTCACATAGTTTCACGGGAATGAGTTATAGTTAGAATTTCTGCATTTCTTTGTTCTCATTCGACTGTGCCTCTGTTTATGTATTCTTGATATTAATATTGCTACAAAAGGCTTGAGCCACCCCTCGTTAGTGGAAAAGTATCAGTCATGGACTGGCCTCCCCAGAGACTGAACCTCAAAATTATTGAAGCAGTTTGGGGTCATCTTAACAGAGAACAGAAGAAAAGGCAGCCAACATCCAAAGAAGGCCTTTGAATGTCCTTCAAGAAGCTTGCAGAACTATTCCTGCAGACTGCTTAAAGAGATGACAACAACATTACCTCAAAGCTGTGCTAGAGCTTTAGGCTGTGCTAAAAAATAAAGGTGGTCATTTTGACTCTGAAGCTTTTTAGAATTGCACAGTTATTTCTGCCTTACTTATTGAATTTCCATGTATCTTTGCATGTATCAATACATCACTGCATGTGTGGGTCCTTTATCCTGTCACACACTGCATCCTTTTCCTATTTTCATAACAAAATTTAAAGAAATGCAAGCTGGCTCACGACTTTTACCCTGTACCATAAATATATAAGTAAATACCCCTGAAGCCTTTATTTGC